GGATCCGATGACCAGCTTTGGTTACCTTGACCCGGGCACAGCAAAAGCACTCCACGGGGTTTGGTTGTCGTGTTGGATCCGATGACCAGGGCACAGCAAACCAGCTTTGGTTACCTTGACCCGGGCACAGCAAAAGCACTCCACAGGGTTTGGTTGTCGTGCTGGATCCGATGACCAGGGCGCAGCAGATGACCAGGGTACAGCAAAAAGCACTCCATTAGGTTTGGTTGTCGTGTTGGACACGACGGTCACAGTGTGCAGAAGGAGATACAGGGACCATTTCAACCCACGGACATGCTAAATGTTGACGGCACCAAGACGCAACACAACGACAGAGTGATCGTGACCGTCGATTTATAAACATCAACCATTCGCAGCACAATCTTCAGAGAGAGAGATGTGGCGGGATGATTACCTGGGCAAAGGACCACGGTCGAGTCAACCAGATCCCCGATTTGCACAGTAGCAGCTTCGAGCGGCGATTCACGCAGTAATAGCTCTGCTTGCCCCGCAGCTTTGCTTGCCCCGCTTGCAGCAGCTCGGCCAGCCGCACCGCACAAAAACCGCGCGCGCTCCAAAAACACGAGTCGAAGTACCCCCCCTCAGGAAATGAAGCTATCGGCATCAGTTGGCCTACTTCCCGTCGGGGGATCGGAACGCGGTGGCCCAATTTTGACGTGGGGGAAAGGTCCCAAACCAGTTGGCCTACTCCCCGCTGGTCGACCGGAACGCTCAATCGACACCGTCAGTCCCTCAGATCTGACGGTCCACGTAGCGCGGGAGGGGACATTTTCCGGAGGAGGGTTGACGGTCCGGTACCGATTTTTTGGTGCAGGGTCATCAACACTGTCGGTTCAACACGATCGGACCGCCGACGGAGCACGTGGAAGGACACGCCGCAGAGTATAAAAAAAGTTGTGGGTCCCTCCCACACTTCTCATTTCATCCTCTCCGGCTTTCACGTGGGGTGTTTTCAGTGCAGGGCGATATCGGCGCTGCTTTGCCTTCAGCGCAGGGCGCTTACGTCGCGACCTTGTGTGCACCCTGGTTGCATATGCGGACGTCGTGCATGCGGGCGTCGTGCATGTTTCTCATGCGTGCGTGTTTGTTTCTCATAGCTGGTGTGGTGGCACAGTCGAAGCACACGTTGGAGCAGGACCAAACCTTACCGTTGGAGCAGACCGTTGGAGCAGGGCCAGTGAGCGGGAGCGAGCGAAAGCGAGACTTTGCACCGACGAGCACGAAGCGAAGGACAGAGTACGGACGGTGAGGATCTGCCCAGATCCGTGAGATTCAACGAGGGCTCGCCACGTGGCACTTTCAAGCTGTGTTCGCCGTTCATTGTCGTGTTGAACACGACGATCACATGCGAAGCACCACAGGTGATCGTCATGTTGAACACGATGATGGACGGCGGGGCGGGTTTCATATGGACGAGCGCAAGACTGACCTACGGGTGATCGTCGTGTCGAACACGACGATCACCCATCGGGCAGTCCTGTGCTCGCCAAGGTCATTGTCGTGTTCGACATGATGATCACCTGCCAAGCACGACAGGTGATCGCTGTGTTGAACACGATGATGAACGGCGGGGCGGGGTTCATTGAGGGCGAGCGCAGGACTGCCTTGCGGGTGATCGTCGTGTTGAACACGACGATCACCCGTAGGGCAATCCTGCGCTTGCCCTACGGGTCGCCCAGGTCATTGTCGTGTTCGACACGACGATCACCTGCCAAACACGACAGGTGATCGTCGTGTTGAACACGACGATGAACGGCGGGGCGGGGTTCATTGAGGGCGAGCGTAGGACTGCCCTACGGGTGATCGTCGTGTTGAACACGACGATCACCCGTACGGCAGTCCTGCGCTCGCCTAGGTCATTGTCGTGTTCGACACGACGATCACATGCCAACAGGTGAGGTGATCGTCGTGTTGAACACGACGATGAACGGCGGGGCGGGGTTCATTGAGGGCGAGCGCAGGACTGCCCTGCGGGTGATCGTCGTGTTGAACACGACAATCACCCGTAGGGCAGTCCTGCGCTTGCCCTACGGGTCGCCCATGTCATTGTCGTGCTCGGCACGACGATCACCTGCCAACAGGTAATCTGTCTTCGTGTTGAACAAGACAATGAGCTCCGGGGCGGGGCGAAAATCGTTCATTATCGTGTTGGACACAAAGATTAGCTGCGGGGCATCGTCGTGTTGAAACCGTCGGGCAGTTGTGGTTTACTTTCCCACCCTGCAGCTCATCGTCGTGTTGAACACGACGATGAGCTGCGGGCCGGAAATCATTCATTGTGTTGAACACGACAAATAGATGCGGGCTGTGTGTGTGCATTTGCTGATTTTTTCAATTTGGCGTGCAGGGCGTTTGCCGATCGCGATGGCAATCTCGGAGTGGATGACCCCGGGACTTTGGCGCGAACGCATTGCGTACCCTTTCCCTCCATGCTTGCTGCGTGTCTCCGGGTGTCGAAAGTTCACTGTCATTGACGGTGCGACGAGAAACGACTTTGAGAGTGATCCGTGGATGACGGTCGTTCCGTTCTACATCACTCCCGTCAACTTGTGGCAGGAGTACGTTTCGGAGAAAATGGTCGAGGACTGCCCTTGGGCGGACGACTACAAATTCGCGAATATGTGCGAGTTCGGGAGTTTAATTCCTGTGCCCGCTGATGTGCTATGTTCAGTTCAGTGTCGTCACTTGAGTGCCACGCTGCTGTTTAACCGTCGCTACAATGTTTTGGACTGTAACGTCGTGACTACTTCACCGCGCACATGGCCCCGTTCGCTGAAACACGAGTTGCTAACCATTCCGATTTCATCGACGCATACCCCTTGCACTCTCCCGGGTTGTTGCCTTGAACGGTTTCGTATTGTTGCGTTAGACTGCGTCTTGGGAAGTGCTTTTGCTGTAGAGTCCTTTGCGTCGCGTGCTCGAACCGGGATGGGACCTTAGCTTACGCTGTGGTCTACGTGTCCAGGAATGAATTGGACCCGGGTGACGAACAACATGCCCGGACTGTGGGGAGCGGTCAAGGGTCTGGTGGCCGTGGTCAAGGGTCTGGTGGTGGTCCGAGCGGTCGAGGGTCTGGTGGTGGTCAGCGGACCCGCACACAAGATACAGTGCGGGAGGCAGGTTCGGGGGAGAGGTATGTGCATGGACAGGCAGATAAAGTTCCCGTCATAGACTACAAAGATAAATTCTGGATGTTGGACTGGGTGGGCGAGGCGGGGCAGGCTGGAAGTGGTTTGATGTTGTACGTGGTGTTCAGAGAAGATATTAGACCGATAGGTGGTATTCAGTCTTGGGCAGGGAGGGATGGTCCGCTCGCCACTTTCGAGTTAACTATGCAACTCAACGGCAAAGGCCACAAAGTTGCAGAGATGAACCATGTTGTTCTCATGTGGAGAAACCACAAGGGATATGGTAAGTCACATGTGGATGTTTTAAATCCTGATCCGGATAGCCGACTCCGGTTACCTGACCTCCGCCAAGTTCTCGCGTTCTTCGACACGAATTTGGTGGAGGGCCATCGCCCGGTGGCCCACAAAGAAGACACTATTACGGAACCGAAAAGTGTTATGTCATCAGCGTGTCCGACTGTGGGTGCCATAACGATTCGACAGCCATCAGTGACCACGCCCGCCGTCCGGGAAGAGAGACAACACGTTCTTGTATCCACGTCGGTGGTCCCTTGAGCGGGACAAATCGCTGCCAAGGGCCCGACTCATGCTAAGGCTCGGTGATCTGGGAGAGGGGAGCAGTGGCGAAGGTTCACAGAGGGAAGAGGAAGAGGAAGAGGAAGGTTCTCAAGAGGGGAATGATAGTGAGAATACAATTAGTGATCGAGAGCGTCGTGGATGTCAATCAAAGAAGATGGGCAGTGGCAATTTTGCTCCCACCGGCGTATGGCGGAATCACGATTTTATGCACATGCAGAAAATCAGATCCGGCTGCGGCTTGCTCGACTCAATCCAAATGTTTCTCCATCGAGAGTGGACATAAGGACGAACGAGGTTTTTCAGGAGCTCAAGGCATTGCGAAGACTTGAGTACTTGGAAGAATTTTATGACAGACAAACAAGCCCGACATTTGGATATAACTGGCGCATTGATCAGGGCGACGAGACCGGTGGGAAAAGGGGACAAGGCCCTAGCGGTGGAGCGAGTGGAGAGGGAGGTGAACACCCAAGTGGTGACGAGGGCGGAGGTGACGAGGGAGGATGTGATAAGGGAGGTGATAAGGGAGGGAGTGGTGAGGGTGGAGGAACATCTGAAGCGCCTGGGTATAGTCAGCCAACAACAGGCACATCAGAAGGGCAAGCCCATCGTCACCATGAGAGAAGCGCTAGTGGTGTAGGAGGGCACATCGACATTCGTGGTTTGCCGCAGGTCAAGCTGGCTACTGCAGTGGAACAGGTTGACGAAGGATGTGAAGGTGGGCAAAGTGTCACCACAACACTCACAACTGTCACAGTGACAGATAATGAATGGTGTGATGGCAGTGGCGCAAGTGTCTTCCCCGTAGGCGAGAAGGGCAATATTGGTAGCCCACAAGGCCATATGTGGATTTCTATGGATATTTTGCCATATGGGTTGGGAAGCCAAGGGCGGCTCAGGGCATCATTGGATGAAACCATGTATCTGGCGGAATCGGACGAGCAACTCGAGGCTCACACTCCACTTGATGAAGAGACACTCAGAGGCGACTTAGAGATTCCTGCAGAATTTCAAAGTCCGATATCAGAGGAGAAGGCACAACAAGGGTCTCGGGAGGCGGGTACTGTAACAGGCTACCAGGAGGAAGCTATGCTTGCGGAGGAGATGGAACCGGGCGGCGAGCCTAACAGTCCATTTGATGAAGACATCCCTGGCAGCGACTTCGATACTGGTACTGGATGGTCTCAGGATTCGCCTATTGTATTCGATACTGCTAGGAAGAACGACACTCTTGAGGGGCTTGTGGCGAAAGAAGCAATTCAAGTGCCAGACATCGAAGAGGATGAAGGACGTATTGTACTGACTACTCCAGAGCAACAGGCACCTGTGGAGGAAGGACGAGAAAGTACACTTCGAACTCCTGTGCAGCAGTTCTGCCCATCTGTCAAAGTGATAAACATCGAAGAATCCCCTTTCACATCAAGAAAGTTCGGAGATGCAAAAGAAGACGGTTCTCAAGGGAAAACCGCAGTTAGTCGCCGAGGTGAGCACTTACCTTACGAAGTTAATATATGTGTAATATTGTACCTAGAACGAGAGATGATTTTTCAGTTTTGCATGCTGTTGTGCATTGGAACTGTTCCATCTTTATTTGCATATATGTAGTGTGCCTTATAGTGCGTCCGAATCGGTAAATAAAGCACACGATCGACTTTTAGTAGTTTGACTCACAATACTTTACTGCTATTAATATTCATTTACATTCATGTTGTTTTAGCGGATTTGTAATGATATCAAAATGATCGTTACTCATATTACTCGTTACTATCGGTGATGATTGTGCTCTCTACATTGATGAACGTGCATGCCTGCGTAAAGGACTGTGGAAAGCCCCTCACGTGCACTCGCAAAGGAACAGTGATAAGAAAATTATACGTCGTGGTTTGCAAGCCTTGTCAACGCTGCCGTTGTTACCCAAAACAGTTAAAAGACGAGCGCAACCTGTGACGATCCCGTTTGTGAGGCCAGCTGCTCTAAGGATGTTTAAAGTTGTGGGAATAGGGACGAAACAAGGGAAGAAATTGCACCGTGAAGTTTGCACTGTATCTGTTGTGGAAAGCGGCAGCGACAACGAAGTTGGCAAACAAGCACCGTCATGAACTTCGTGTCCGCTTCTTATATCTATTTACAGAAAGACACTACTTGTATGGAATTCTTAGACATACTGTTGTTGTTTACCTGTGTGTTTGTATGCAGTGCCTGACCAGTCGTTCAAGATTCCTCTAGCAACACAACTCCTCACTAAGGTCGAGATGCAGTATGTTGAAAGGGTTGTGAGGACCGGTGAAGAAAACGAAGAATACGGCATTGTTGTTTACAAGGGTGACTGGAAGGTGGAAAAGAAAGCCATTATGCTCATCATTGAAGCAGGAGGATGGTTGAATCACGAAGCCGTGAATTTGTATCTGCTGGCAATCCAGATCGACAATGATAATGCCAGAGAGAATTTGATGTCTAGAGGACAGATTAAAGACGAAAGTCCGAAGGACATTCCATCTGTGTATATTCTAGATTCTTTTTTCTTTGTCACGATGGCATCCGCGACGTCCAGAGAAATTGCTTACTGTGAGGGAATGAAGTGGGTTAGGGGAAGAAATATTTTCAATTATAACTTCGTACTTATCCCTTTGAACTTTGGAGACCACTGGGCTTTGGCATGTGTTAGAATAGACGGTTGCAAGTGTGAATTCCAACTATTAGACTCTCTCCCTCGCGGCGACCGCCTCGCAGCGCTGAAAGTAGTAGCCGTATTTTTTTGAATGGAGTTCAGACGTCAGAATCTTCATGAAAGATATCAAGTCGACGAGCTTGCGACACCTTTCAAGACATCACTTGATGGGGTGCCTGTCCAACATGACGGTTGCAGTTGTGGTGTTTTTATGTTAGGTTTTGCATCTTTGTTAGCGAAATGTCACTTTCCACCATTCGATTTCTCGCAAGAGAACATCCCGTATATGAGGCAGAGAATAGCATTTGACATTTTGTCGATGGTCGAGCATGAGTGAACATTCCAAATATGCAGAGTTTGATATCATTCAACACTTTGTTTATGGTTAGTCACAAGTGTTGATGGTTAGTCACAGTTTCAAGTGTTATGTGTCATTCGACACTTTGTTCATAGTTAAGAATAGTCTCAATAGTTTGTGTGTCATTGGACACTTTCTTGATGGTTAACAATTGTTTTTATGGTTCATATTGCTTTCCACAATTCTCAAATGTTATTGCGCAAATGACATATTGCTTTCCAGAATTTTCAAATTTTATTGTGCGAATGACGTATTTCTCAATTGCCAATGTTAAGTTCTCACCATTTCGCCTTGTTTCATCGCTATTTTCCTCATTTCTTCCTCTCTTATATGTGTTATTTTACACTTGAAAAAAAAGTGAACATGAAAACAACTTCACTTTTAACGAAAACACCGTTGTACCTGCTGCGCTGATGATATTGTTGCGGAGAGAGAGAAAGAGATGAGCGATACAAGTATGGTTGTCACTTACCTGTGAAGCGAGCTGTGTACTCCACGCGAAGGAGAAAGAAAGCGGCCATAGCCGCGGGGTATTACCACGGAGTACCGAGGAGGGAGAAACCGGACAGAGGGAGAGAGACCGAGAGGAGAGAGAAAGCGGCCATAGCCGAAGGGAGGAAGAAAAA